TGATGATTGGAGGCATAAAGTACAAATAGGAAATACTGTATTTACTATATTAGAAGCACATTTTCGTTACACATAAGCATTGTGTTTATTGAATGCAAAATCATTGAAATGTGTTTTATTTTGACCACAGATATTACGGTTATTCATATTAATGTGGTCACATGACCATATGTGGTATGTTAGTCTTATCTCTTGTCAAATGCCTTTATTATAGCACTGGTTGAATGTCACTATCTGCAGCAGTGCTTAATACATTACAGTTATGCATATTAATAAGGTCACATGAACTCATTATATAAGGTGGGTAATTAATATACATGGATCTCTACCCTGAAGTAATCAAATCTGTGGAATATCCAAAAGCACTTAATGTACGAAGTTTTATTTATATTTGATGCTCAAGTGGTACTCAAGATATCTGTAGAACACCTATAAATTTGTTAAATTATGCTAATAGTAAGCACATAATTTAACCTGAAACTAAGCATGTATATGGATTATTTCAGAGCACCTATATATCAAGTTTCATTGAAATCTGTTTAATAGTACTTGAAAAACATGTAAAATGAATGCTTGAAATTGGCAAATTAATATGCAAATTAGGAAATCAATATGCAAAAACTAATCAGGTCTGCGTATTATACCAGACCATCTATGTACCAAGTTTCATTGGAATCTGTTTAGTAGTACTTAAAAAATATGTAGAAATGAATGCTTGAAATTGGCAAATTAATATGCAAATTAGGAAATCAATATGCAAAAACTAATCAGGTCTGCGTATTATACCAGACCATCTATGTACCAAGTTTCATTGGAATCTGTTTAGTAGTACTTAAAAAATATGTAGAAATGAATGCTTGAAATTGGCAAATTAATATGCAAATTAGGTAATTAATATGCACTGATTTCAACTATAAACTAATCAGGTCTGCGCATTATCCCAGACCATCTATGTACCAAGTTTCATTGAAATCTGCTAACTGGTTCTTGATATATCAGTGAAACGTTTGAACGAATGAACAAACGAATGAACGAACAAACGAAAAATCTTTTTTTTTCGGGAGGCGATAGTGACTAATGCACATAATTACAAGAATATGAAAACATAGTTTTCTTCAAATGCCCAGAAAGATCTAGTGCTTTGAAGATCAAAACCATATTTCTTTCCTCAAAAAAAATGCTGACTTACAGTTCAACTCTAGTGACAGCGACTCCCCAGTTTTGTGTAACTGAGTTAAGATCAATCTGTAAACTTTGGTTATATATCGCCTTTTCTGATTCAATTTCTTGTGCTGATTTAGAAGACAGCAAATTCATGAGTGAAGTTTGTCCCAGTAATCTAGTGGAATGGTTCAGATCTTGTACTGCAGTGACAGAAGTAATGGCATCATTGATTTCAAAGTGTATTACAGCACCAATACTGATGACAGCGCCATCGTTTGTGAATACCTGCAATAGAATATGTATAAACTGATGACATCATCAGTATTGAAATGCACAAGTACACCAATACTGATGACAGCGCCATTGTTTGTGAATACCTGCAATAGAATATGTATAAACTGATGACATCATCAGTATGGACATGCACAATTACACCAATACTGATGACAGTGCCATCGTTTGTGAATACCTGCAATAGAATATGTATAAACTGATGACATCATCAGTATGGAAATGCACAAGTACACCAATACTGATGACAGTGCCATCGTTTGTGAATACCTGCAATAGAATATATAAACTGATGACATCATCAGTATGGAAATGCACAACTACACCAATACTGATGACAGCGCCATCATTTGTGAATACCTGCAATAGAATATGTATAAACTGATGACATCATCAGTATTGAAATGCACAAGTACACCAATACTGATGACAGTGCCATCGTTTGTGAATACCTGCAATAGAATATGTATAAACTGATGACATCATCAGTATGGAAATGCACAACTATACCAATACTGATGACAGCGCCATCATTTGTGAATACCTGCAATAGAATATATAAACTGATGACATCATCAGTATAGAAATGTACAACTACACCAATACTGATGACAGCGCCATCATTTGTGAATACCTGCAATAGAATATATAAACTGATGACATCATCAGTATGGAAATGCACAACTACACCAATACTGATGACAGTGCCATCGTTTGTGAATACCTGCAATAGAATATATAAACTGATGACATCATCAGTATTGAAATGCACAAGTACACCAATACTGATGACAGCGCCATCGTTTGTGAAAACCTGCAATAGAATATATGAACTGATGACATCATCAGTATTGAAATGCACAAGTACACCAATACTGATGAGAGCACCATCATTTGTGAATACCTGCAATAGAATATGTATAAACTGATGACATCATCAGTATGGACAATTACACCAATACTGATGACAGCGCCATTGTTTGTGAATGAATAATCTGTAACAGAATATATAAATATATAAATGTTCAGTATATATTTGTTAATAATAATAATAGTACACCTAAACTGATGACAACATAAGTATGAAATTACACAAAAATCCTCGGTGGCAGAGCCGGTGAAAATAGCTGAATTTGAGAAAACAACAGGAACTCAACTTTGAAGTAATCCTGAATTTATATATGTTACACATGCAGGGGTAATCTTGTTACACTGCTAAGTGGAGTCTCAAAAACCATCGGAAAGTACAACTGTACCGTTTTCTGTGAGTTTTCTGCTTTTGTTTTCACCAAGATGATTGCCAGGCAAGATGTCCACCCCTGAGAATATCATCTACATCTAAACTATATTGAAACAAGCCATGCATGGCACAGTCCCCGTTAGTTATCAAATTTAAGATATATAGTTTTGTTTATAGTAATATAGCTGGAATATAACCATGTCAGGAATATGATTTTTGAACATTAAAATGATTGACATTTGTATCTGATCGTCAAACAAGTACTTGTCCATATTGAGAAATATTGCTCTGGAACAGCATTCAAAATCAGCCATTTTGAATACATGTATATATATATATATATAACATGATGTATACAAATATATAAAATTTGAATATAATCAGTCAAAGCATTTAAGAGATATGGCTCTAGAAGCCCAATCATTAAAACAAAATGGTCGTCAATCAGCCATTTTGAATCCAATCTGAAAAATAAAATGACGTGCATCAGGAACCCATATGTCTAATGTATGTACCAAGTTTGAACGAAATCCATCTGTAAACAGCCGAGAAATGCTTGATTTTGATAATTTGTAGCCCCAAAATGGCCGCCATTCGGCCATCTTGAATCAGATTGACATGCATATGTATAATATCATGTATGATGTATGTGTGAAGTTTGATTGTGATTGGTTCAGACATTTTTAAGATACAGGTCCAGACGCACACATGGACGTACGCACGCACGGACATACAGAGGTCAAAACATAAGTCCCAGTTTTCGGACTGCGTCCGAACGTGGACTAATTATTGGAGAAATTTAATCATTATGTGGGCTCTTACTTCAGATTGGGGATGAGTACCAATTATGTCTTAACACATCCCATCTCATGCAGTGACAGCATATAAATCAACATAGAAATGTGAGAAAACTGCAAAGTATACACAAATGCAGTATGATGATCACATTGACCAACACATACTGCACTGGTGTTACCTTTCTTTTATTCAAGGGTCCTTCGTCCCTCTCCATGATAATGTATGTTTTTTGGTATTCTCATATTAATATGAGGTTATAACGAGGATAATGCAAAGTATACATGAAGACAGTACAGCGGGAGTATCGTGCAACACGCAACGGAGGTTGATGCGTCCGCATACTGTCTGAGTGCATACTTTGCAGTATCCTCGTAATAACCATATTATTATACATCTTTTCCTCCCAGGAATATATCATAAGAATGCTGAAATCCAAAACCTTTAGAACAGATTTAGCAAATTGCTTTGTGTGGGGTCTGGTCAAACCCTGGGGGCAGCCATGTTTATTTGTTATTATTAGGGGACGCTTACGTGCGTAATCGTTTCATATTTGGAATTCGCGTTCCCTAATATGGTAGGATGAAAATACCCAGTGTAACACCGCAAAATTATGGCACACTGTAACTTATGGCGAAACAGTGACAGATGTATAATAATATGTTTTATTCAGTGAGATTCAGCCTAATAATTTGAATGGTATGTTGAAATATTACCTTCTGAGGTGGAACGTTAAATGCTCGAGTTCTCATGTCAACTTTCCTCCATTTATCAATACATGGAAGAACCATTACAATTCCTGTAATTGAAAAAATAAATTAATATATTTCATGTCTGCAGTGAAGATCATCAAATAAATATGTACATAAATGTAGCATTTATTTTGTACCAAATTTAATTATACACAAATTCATGCTCGATTGGCTATCCAACCCTAACACCTTAAAGTTAGACCAATCAGAGAGCGGCTTGTTTATTGACATTTTTTTTTTTACTCAAAAATTATTAATAATTGTAAAAAAATTATGCAGATTGATTTTATGAAATTGACTTTTGATGTTGAAAGCAGACGAAAAGAACTTTGGGTGGTTGTTATGCATTGCCCACCATTAACATAGGAGTATGTTCAAAAAGTAACTAAGAGCCTGTCAGCTGATATAGCCCTGCTGTATAGTCATCTGAAATTAATATTTTTTTACTAAAAATGACAAAAATAATTATCAAAATTAGATATTTGCAAAAATATCTTCAAGAAATGCACAAATCTGATGTAAATATGTACCAAGCTTCAATCCCATTTTCAAGAAGAAGCCAAATATGTACAGTTGACGACAACAGACAATCACCAATATGAGCAGCTCTGCTCTAAAAATGCTCATGAGCACCCTTGTGTTCATGCTATTAGCTAACTGTGCTAATAATTAAGGTGACTTGTTGGCATAAGAAAAATGGTGGAAAGATTTGTAAAGATTTTTTGCTGTGCTTTGTGCTGCTGAAAAAAAAATTCCTCAATGAAATTCAGCACTGCAAACTGCAAACAGAGCCTTGTCTCATTGAAACATGAAATATTACAAGGTTATTGAAAATAACGCATAGTATACATTTAGGCAGTTTATATGGTGAACAGATCAATGCAACCTTGCACTACCTGAGTGCATGACAGCCCAAAATGGCCACCAAAAATGTTTTGCCATGTGTGAAAGTTTGTGTTGAGTGTCAGGAATAAGTAGTAAGTATTTGAATGAATTTGACATCAATATTGTTGTCGTAGTTTACCCTAAATACGGGATCATTTAAACGTCTACTACTACTACACCTCTTCAAGGAATGGCAAATTTCCTTGTTTTCAGTGATAAATAAAAAATCAGATCAACCAACACACTTGAGTATTGCACTTATTTTTGCAAATTGATAGAAATTAAGATAAAATAAAGTGCAGAAAACAAATAAACTTTATGAAATATCAAAGTAGAAGTCCAAAAATTACTTTGGTGACACAATTGAACCAACTCACCTGGTCCCTTTGCTGACTGTAGTCTCCCAAGTCTGAATAAAACCAGTTTTTCATATTGGTGTACCATCTGAAAATAAAAACTTACTATAATTACTAAAGATCTGTTTTTTTTTGTATGAGATCAATAGGTAACTTGAGGAGCATTCCCATAGAAAAAGTATATGGGATATACTACATTATTGGGTAACTTGAGGGGCATTCCCATAAAAAAAGTATATGGGATATACTACATTAATGGGTAACTTGAGGGGCATTCCCATAGAAAAATAGTATGGGATATGCTACATTAATGGGTAACTTGAAGGGCAATCCCATAGAAAAAGTATATGGATATACTACATTAATGGGTAACTTGAGGGGCATTCCCATAGAAAAAGTATATGGGATATACTACATTAATGGGTAACTTGAGGGGCATTCCCATAGAAAAAGTATATGGGATATACTACATTAATGGGTAACTTGAGGGGCATTCCCACAGAAAAAGTATATGGGATATACTACATTAATGGGTAACTTGAGGGGCATTCCCCCAAAAAATATATGGGATATACTACATTAATGGGTAACTTAAGGGGCATTCCCATAGAAAAAGTGTATGGGATATGCTACATTAATGGGTAACTTGAGAGGTATTTCTATAGAAAGGCGTATGGGATATGCATGAATAGTTTCTCCACAAAACTTGTAAACCATTACATTTTTACTCTTTGGATAACATTTTGCAAAATATCTCTGTAGCAACTTTTGTCACATATGATATATTAAATCCATGTAATTTTTAAAAAATTTTTAAAACAAAAATGATCAAGACATGGAGGCAATAAAAAAATTCAATCCAAAATTAACAAAAAATACATTATTTTATAAAATACATTGACAAATTTTGTTAATAATGTCATTCCAGGATTAAGGACCCCAATAAAATTGTCACTGCTTCTAAAACTTATTAATTTCTCAGCGAGATTCACAAAAATTTGTTCATCAGAAAATTTAAGCAGTTAGAAGTATAATTTTCAAAGTTTCAAAACCTATCAGTACAAATCTAAAATGCACCAAAAATAGGATCGGCATGTTATGTTCAGGCTGCAGACTTTTGTAGTGAAGAAAGAAAATTTTGTTCTGAAAGTACCGAGTACCAGCACATATTGATTTTCACTTTTATTTCTATCACTGGATTTAACTAGAGGATTACAGCATTTAATCACTATTTATTTTTACTCGTGTCTTTCTTTCATTTATACCACTTTTGTTCTGGCTGCATGTGTCTTCCTGAAAATGATCTCTATCTTTTTGTCTAATTTTAAACTGACCAC